CAGTCAGACCTCGATATAATCACCAGGCTAGGAAATAAAATTTTGGTGATTATAAAAAGTTGTGACTATATAAAGGTCAAAATTTATATGTTTTATAATAGCAAGATCAAAAAAATAGCGTGATTATAACAAGGTTGTGACTATATTGAGAGTGACTATAACGAGGTCTGACTGTATATAGTCGTCCTCTCATATAATCACCCTATTTGTCTAACACTTTTTGGTGATTATATAAAGGGGTGATTAAGTAAAATTCCTTCTATATAATCACATAATATAAAATAATATAAAATAATATATATAATATGATTTTAAAAAGGCATCTATTAAAATTCGCTATTTTTACTCAAACTTTAATGATTAATATCTCGATAGTTATTAATCTAAATTAGCTCAAATCTCTACTATAGATATTATTGATATTATTCTATTATATATAAAAATTTTAGCCGATTTAGTCAGGTATTTCTCGAGTAATCGCTTGTTTATGATAGTCAAAGTTTTTTAAAAAATTGATTATAGTATACAAATGATTACGCAATAAATACTTAACAAAATCAGCTAAAATTTATATATATAATAGAAGAATTTGAACTGATTTAGATTAATAGTTATCGAGATATTCACCATCAAAGTTTGAGTAAAAACAGCGAGTTTTTTTAATATTATTATAAAACTTTTGCCATTTTTATTCAAACTTAGACAATGAATATCTCAATAACTATTAATCTAAATCGGTTCAAATTTTACTACAGATAATACTGATATTCTTATATTATATATAAAAGGTTTAGTCGATTTTGCTAGGTATTTTATGAGTAATTGCTTGTATACAATAATCAATTTTTTTAAAATATTTAACTATCGTATACAATCGATTACTTGAGAAATTCCTGACAAAATCGGCTAAAACTATTATATATAATAGAAGAATATCAATATTATTTGTGATAAAAATTTGAACCGATTTAGATCAATAGTTATTAAGATATTCATCGTCAAAGTTTGAGTAAAAATAGCAAATTTTACTTTATTTAATGGACGGTTTGGATTTTTCTAAAATTTTAATTAGATATTTTTACAAATCTATAGAATTTAATATTAATAAATTAGTAAAAAAACTTTTTTAAATTGTGATAGTGATAGTGATATATATTGTGATTATATAAAGGTATTTTTAATATTAAAAAAATAACCGTATAAATTGTGTGATTATATAGAATTTGTGATAATATAGGAGGTGATTGTATGGGAGGATGATTGTATATAGAGATAATTAAATAGAATTAATAATATTATCTCTATATAATCACATAATATAGAATAATTAAAATAATATAATTTTAAAAAGGTAAAATAATATTTTTATTTTAAATTTTAAAATTTAAAATGCCTATTAAATAAAACAAATTTTGCTATTTTTATTTAAACTTTGATAATAGATATTTTGATAGCTATTAATTCAAAGCTGCTTAACTTTTTATTATAAATAGTATCAATATTCTTTTTATTATATGAGGTGGAGTCAATAAAAAGGGACAAATCATTTTTAGTGAAATTTTTTTAATTTTTAAATTAAAATATCTTAACAACTAATTAATTAAACTTGTTCAAAATTTTTTATTTTAATTTTAAAATTATAAAGAATTAAAATAAAAAAAAATTATTAAATTTGCTAAGATAATTGCTAAAATATTTAAGCTTAAAGTCAAGAAAACTTTTATTTAAAAAAATTTTGTCTCTTTTCTATTAACTCTATTCCATATATAGAAACTTCAGCTAATTTAAACATGTAGTTTTTGAATAATTGTTTTGTATTTAAGTCAATTTTTTATAAAAAATTAACTATTATATACAAGCAATTACTCAAGAACTACAAGTTTAAATTAGCTGAAATTTCTATATATAATAGAAAAATATCAATACTATTTATAGCAAAAATTTGAGCAAATTCGAATTAATAGTTATTAAAATATCTATTATCAAAATTTGAGTAAAAATAGCAAAAATTTTATAATAATTGATTATTTTTTATTTTATTTTATTTTTTTAACTCTTTGATGGTTTTGCCAAAGCTCGAATACAAAACTTTATTTATTTAATCAATAATAGTAAACCATTTCAACTAAACTAAGTTTTAAAATTGCAAGCTTTATATCTACTAGCTATATAGAATATGCTTATTAGTGATTTATCACACTATCTTGTATACAAGTTGGATAGATCTTGTTAGCCTGTTAAGAGCTGATCTCCTCAATTCTTTTTTTTTTTACTAAGAGCAAAAGAAAGTAGTAATTTTATACCAAACTACAAAAGCACTAATTATTAAAACAAGAAAAAACTATATTTAATAAAAACTAAATAAACAAAAAGAAAGTTTTAAAGAAAAAAAAAAAGGAGAAAAAGAATATATAAAAAAAGAAAAACAAAGAAAAAAGTTCAAAGAGCCAACAAGGTGAGGTGCTACCTCTATCAAGAAGCAGCCAAGCAACCTGAAAGTTGTCACTAATAAGAAAAATATACTATTATAACCTATACCAAGTTAAAGTAAAAATTATATAACAACTATAACTATTGATATCTCAATTATAAAGCCAAGCCTTAACGTATACCTTTCAACTACTGACCAAATCCAGATACCTCTTTAACCTAAGATCTGATTCAAGTCATATAAAGAACCACCTGCTATTCAATTCAAGTCACGTGGAGTAATGCTATATCCTTTAGTAAACAAGACATGTCGGCTATAATATACCAAGTCCATCTGGATTTAGATATAAATAATGCTAATTTTTTGAAAAGAGTAAGAATGGCAGGAAGTCGAAAATAAATAATAGAGAAATTACTTAAAACAGAAAAAGAAGTGCAGCTTAAGAGCAATATAGAAATTTGTTGTTTCTTCTATATTCTTCTTTAAAGTAATAGCCTAATAGCTTCATTGACAAAGTTGGGCTTTACCACCCACACTTTATACAAGGGCACCATCTGCCAGTTATCTTGTATAATAACGCTCTTGGCTTGCATGCCAAACATCTCTTGTAGAGGAGTCCTCTATAGCAGAAAGTTAATTTCTAAACAAACCACTATTAGGTCATAATTCTTCAACAAATTTTTATTAATAGAAATTTTAGTCCAAGTGATTATCAGAAAGAGTTATATTGAAAAAATAAGAATAATTGATTATTAAACAAATATATTATTATTATAATATATATCTTAATATGGAGGTGTAGTGATTTAATATAGTAATCTAGTTGTCACTCTCTTCAAGTGGCAGATCTAGAGTTCAAATTCCACAGACAATGAATTTTAGAAAATAAGCTTGTGTTATAGTTAATAGTTATTAATTATTGGTTAGATCTAAACTTAAATCTCAATCTCAGTTATACTATTTAGTAATAGAAGCTTTGGCACAATAAATCCAAAGAACTGAAATAACCAAAAACCTATTTGGGAAGTTCCAAGTTAAAGAATAGTGATAATATTTAGCAGTATTACAAAAGAGCTGAATTTGAACTGGGGCCTGAGATCAGAGAACCAAGCAACTAGATTCTAATAGTAGAGGATACACTAGTCAAATTGCTAAGTTTTGTTGTATTAGAGAAAAAGGATATATACTCTAAAAGTATATATCAAGAGAAGGGTTTTCTTCAGACACTTAAAACCTGAGCAAACCAATCTTTTTGAGTTGTTAACTGGAAGTAAGAAAAGAACTGATAAAGAATTTGAGTAAAAAAACAATTCAAATATGAGTACTGGAGTTGTTGTAAACCTTAACAAAAGCAAAAAATAACTAATAAGTAACTAATTAGAAAGAATGTGGCTTGAGATATAGATTAGATTATGGCAGTATCCTAAAAGGTAGCTTAAAATACAAACTCAGTAATAAAAGTATAACAGGTACTAATTAGTTGCAGAGGTTTAATAGTTAGCTCTGACCCTGAGTATATAGGTCAAGCTATAATATAAAGTTACTAAAGTCTGAGTAAGATACATGAGTGAGACATATATCCTAGCAAAATGGTGAATATGGTCATCCATTAATTGATGATCCTCCAGTCAACTAAAGCATGATTTTAGTAAAATATAACTCAGATTACTATATAAATTTGCTATAGTGCGAATGTGGCGTTTACCCAAGGTAAACTTTTTTTTATACTAAGTTAATCATCTTTCTTGCTTAAGAGACTTTTGTAAAGCTTGTCAAGATATATCTAATGGTGATAAGAGTGTCAAAATCAGCCTGGTGAATACTGAGATATCTTTAAAAAACCTCTCTTTTACTATATAAATTTCTTTGCAAACAATACTACTACAATACTATTGTTTGCAAAAAAATTTACTTAGTAAAAGAGAAGTTTTTTAAAGATATCTTAGTACTCACCAGGCTAATTTTGATGCTCTAACCACTATTAGATACGTCTTGACAAGCTTTACAAAAGTCTCTTAAACAAGAAAGATGATTAACTTAGTATGAAAAAAGTTTACCTTGGGCAAATGCCACATTCGCACCATAGTAAATTTATATAGTAATCTGAGTCATATTTTACTAAGATCACATACTAGTTGACTGGAGAATCATCAATTAAGCCTTGTTCAGTTTCTTGGTTGGACATTTCATTTGGATATTTTTAAGTGGTTTTAGTAGTCAGTTAAGTTTTGTTGAGCATTAGCATTTCATAAAGAAATAAATTTGCCAATTGGAATTATATCAAGTTCAAGAAATTTATTAGTATCTAAGAATTCTAATTTATTTGCTAAAAACTATGTATCCAAAATTCCAAAGTTGCTTTGAGTTGCAATTTGGTTTTTTTTAGATAGTGTACTGCTTGTCTATCCATTTTTAGCCTATCAATCTCAGGAATCCAAATCTTTACAAGATCACCAGGTTTCAAATTTAATACACACTTTTTAGTTTTATATCGTTTTTCTATAAAATTATAAATCATTTGATGGTTTTGAGCAACATGTTGATTTGCTGCCTCTCTTAATTGTGCATGTTAATTAAAACTTGCATAAGAACAATTTTCAAATAATGAATTTGATGGTATAGGAGATAAATTTTTAGCTATATTATTGTCTTCAATTGGTGTAAAATCTTTGTCATCTAAATCTATAGCATTATTATTAGCCAATAAATGCTAATAAATTATAAAACATATATTAATAAATTAAAAGTAATTTACCAAATATATAAATATATTAAAAAATTTACTTACTTTAACCAAGTTTTATCTTGCCGCTATGTTCTATATTTTAATAAGTTTTACAAATAACAGTATAAAAATCTTCAATTGGGCAAACTTGAATACCATAATTATGTTTATCAGATTTAATATTCAGTATGTTGATAATTCCAACATTAATTAATTTAAAGCTATTAAAAACCAAATATTTAAAGTTTGCTTGACAGGCTTCATAAAATAGTCAGACAATAATCATACTTAGAATGTTTCATTATATGTCTTTTGTTTTTTCTATTATTCATGTAGTCATCAATGATTTTTTGAAAGCTTTGAAATGAAAGAAATAAAAAAAGCAAAGAATTTGAAGCCATATTATAAAAGATAATGAATGTTTTTTTTTTTTTTTTTTTTTAAATCTTTGACAGTCTTGCTAGTACTCAATTTATTGCAACTATATTTAGATGAGAGCTAAGCTCTCTCGAACAATACATGTATCATTTATAACTACAAACAGGGAGTTACCGCAATAGCGAGCCTGACATCATCCGGCTGCGATAAATGTGCCCATATGCGACTTGTTGCACCAACCTGTATACAAGTTAGATAAACTTTGTCAGCCTATCAAAGCTTTTCTCTTCATATCTCCTTTCTTTACTGAGAGCAAAAGAAAGTGATGATCTTATACAAAACCACCAATACTACCAAGAAAACAAAA